CTGAGCAGGGAGCCTGATGTGGGACTCGATCCCAGGACTCCAGGATCATGACCTGAGCTGAAGGCAGTCACTTGACCAACTGAGCCACCCAGGCACCCAGAAATTGGCATTTCTATCTCTGTTCCATGTCCTGTTCAACCACAGTATGTCCCATGCTGCCTTTTTCCTGACACCATTCCAGATTTGAGTTCCTTCTCCGATAATTCCTTGTTGGCATCCATCATAGGAGATTGGCAGGAAACTCCTGACCACACTTGGTTTTTAGATTTCTTAGGTTTTCATAATTAGGTTACACAACCTAATTTTCTGTTGTTAGGTTCTAATCATTAATCAGTATTAGGTTTTCATCTGTTTCATCCTGGCAATTGCAAAAGACAAAAGATTCTTTCCACACTGTCACAGAAATTGCCTAATTTTTCAGGCTGTGCTTTAAGTCAGTAATTCCTGCTTCTGCGTTTACACTCTTTTTCTTTAGGCTCTCCAACACTTCTGGACTCCACATTCCCAGACTTGGGTCCCTGATTTCCTTAAGCCCTTCACACTGTCCTATGGTAGCAGCTGCTTAGGACCTAAAATTTTGCCTTCAATGAGCATTTCATTCTGGCGGACCGCAAGAGATAACTCAGGTGTTTAACTCTCCACAGAGTAAAACCACAGCCTGCAAGAAAGTTCCCAAAACGTGTGTATCGTCTCTGCATTCAGCCCCAGTCTGGCCCTGTGATCAAGCCCGGTTACCCTCCCTCCATTTCCCTGTCCCAATTTCATTATCAGTCAGAATCTTCAGTTGCTGAAACAGAATCTAATTCTGACTTGAAGCAGAAAATAAACAGATTTATCGGTTAGCCGTCGGAATCAATGGAGAGACTGGAAAACCTCGCCTCAGAATTAGGTGGGAGAAACACAGGGAAAAAATCACACCACTGAACAAGTCCTGTAAACACACACCGCTGCCGACAGTAGGGACCAACGACACCACCTCACTGGACGCGGGGCACCCCCACAGCTTGCAGCCCCGCTGCTCCCAGGCCATGGCGGTTGCAGCCGCCGCCGAGCTCCCCAGAAGGGACCGCCCGCTTTGTCGCCTTCCGTGCGTCCCCGACACCTGCCTCCGCGGCCAGGGCGCCGGCGTCTGCTTGACCGAGCCCAAGCCGGGCGCACCTGTTCTGTTGCAAGGAGGCTGCCAAAAGGGGCATCGGGCTACTTCTGCCTCCAGGGTGGAAAAGCCTGGATTCCCCAAGCATAGGAAGGGGTGCAGGGAGGCAGGGGCGCCTGGGCGGCTCCGTGGGGTGAGCGTCCAACGCTTGGTTTCAGCTCCGGTCGTGATCTCAGGGTCGTGCGATGGAGCCCCATGTCCGGCTCCTTCCTCTCCCTCTGCCCCTCCCCCACTCACGTAAGTGCGCTCGCGCTCGCTCTCAAATAAATAAATAAATCTTAAAAAAAAAAAAAAAAGAGGCGCCTGGGTGGCTCAGTTGGTTAAGCAACTGCCTTCGGCTCAGGTCATGATCGTGCAGTCCCGGGATCGAGTCCTGCATCAGGCTCCCTGCTCAGCAGAGAGTCTGCTTCTCCCTCTGACCTTCCCCCTTCTCATGCTCTCTCTATCTCATTCTCTCTCTCAAATAAAAAAATAAAATCTTTAAAAGAAAAAAGCAAAGAAAGGGAGGGAGGCAGAGATGTGAATGTCCTCCACGCAGAACTCCAGTGTGCTGGGTGAGAGAGAGAGAGGGTCCCACCCTAGCTGGGGTCTGCCATGTGCAGAACTTTAACAGAGGCAGTCTGACAACACCCCAAACCCCCCGCAGTGAGCCTAGGGTGATAGACTGGAAAGGCTACACACACCCCAGGCATCTGCCACTTAACACTCCCGCTTCCCTCCTCCCTCGTGCCCTGGCATTCTGTCACCTGGGGGATACACAGTCCCAGCCCGTCTTGGCTCTCAGTCTGCACACCGTCTGTGAGCTGGCTGAGTGCAACCTCTGCCCGGGGTGGCTTGTGCATCCTTCGCTGTCACTGTCAGAGGAGGAGCCTGTCCTGAGTGCTTATTGGCTGTGGAGTCACCTTTCCCAGGCTGGGCTCACAGCCCAGTCATTCCCAGAACTACACCTGGCTTTATTTCCAAGTAGTCTGCTCTGAGCTCCATGACTCAGGGCAGTCCAGAATCTTCCGGTCAGGCAAAATGGGCACAGTGGTGTCTGTCCTGCTGTCCCTGCTACTCCTTCTGGGTCCTGCAGTCCCTCAGAAGACCCAAGCTGGTGAGTGAGGAAGCCAGGGTGGCTCTGGGGGACAGATGGGCTGGAGAAGGGCCTCTAATGCAGCTGGGATTCCCAGATATACCGTGGGAGTGAGTGTCCAAGGCTGTCACCTAACTCAGCTCACAAACGTCGAGAAGCCTTGAGGGAGCCTCTGAACTCATGCTCAGTGAGGCCTTAAGAATCAGAAGCTAAAACTCTTAGTTTACAAATGAGCAAAACTGAGACCAAAGAGGTGAAGTGACCTGGCGAGGGTCACACACAAAGCAGGAGTCACACAGGTAGAACTTTCTGTCCCTTGCTTTCTTCCAGTGGCTGGGTGAATCTGTCTGGTTCTCAGAGAAAGAGGGAACAACCCTAAGGGGCAGATGTGAAGGCAGGTTAACTGGACGGTTGTACAAGGAAAATGATCCCCTCCCCCCACAGTCAGACCACAGTGCTACCATTAGCCCTGAGGGCAAGTTAGGGGGAAAGAAGCCAGCTGGAATCTGGGAAGCTCCAGAGTCCACACTAGGATAGGAAAATGAGGCTGTTTCCTGGCCACCAATTACATGAAGAAATGTAAGCTAAACTGTGCATGTCTGAAATTCGTTACATTTAAAAACTATGAGGATGCATGTTTTATTTTAAAATGTTAATCACACCCTACACCAAAATCTGTATTAGTCAGGGCTCTCCAGAGAAACAGAACAGACAAGATGTAAATACAGAAAAAGAGATTGATTTTAAGGAACTGGATGGCACAATTGAAATCTGCAGGTCGGAGACCCGGAGAAGAGTCAGTGTTGCCATCTTGAGTCCAAAGGCAGTGTGGAGGCAGAATTCCTTCTTCTTTGGGGGACTGGGCTTCTTTCTTGTGGCCTTCAACTGATTGGATGAGGCCCACCCACTGTGAAGGGTAATCTGCTTTACACGAGGTCTAAAGTTAATCACACTGAGAAACTAATTAGCAAGAATAATTTCAGTACTTGAACTAGGAATCATCCATAGAACCTCCAACATTATTAACCCCAATGTGAGTTATATCCTGAATTAATTGGAAATGTCCCCCCTCTCCAAGCCCCTGCCTCACACCAAAACGCAAGGTACAACCCTGGGAATTCTGAGATCCAGATCCTGGCCTTACCCTGTGCCAATCCATTCTAGGTCATCTCCTGAGTTTTCTGGTAAATTCTTCCTACACATTCGAATTCTATGTCTTAGATTAAGTTGTGCTCCAGTAACAAAGTTTTTAGTGGCTTAACCCAACAAGTGGTTTATTTCTTGCTTGTGTAAAGTGAATACAGATAAGGCAACGTTCCTGTCTTCCCTGGCGTGACTCAGGAATCTGGGATATTTGCACCTTCGGACTCCTGGTTTCATCCTGAGGTCTCCACAGTCATCACATAAATAAAAGAAAGACAGAACAAACCAGTTAATAGGGCCTCAGACCAGAAGAAAGACATCACTCCCACTCACATCCCCAGAATGCACATCACTCCCACTCACATCCCCAGAATGCAGTCGCATGATCCCAAAATACATACAAGGAGGCTGAGAAATATTACCTTCTTATGTGTCAAGAAGAAACAATAAAGTGAAAACACAATGGTGTCTGAAGTACCATACCCAGGATAGAGGTAGGGCCCTTTGCACTTGGGTGAGCCTCCAGAGTGGTGAGGCTGAGGGCTGGGGAGGACGAGACCCAGTGGCCACAGCCCCCTTTCTGGCCCTCTGCTGCCCCACATTGGGCATCCCTTGCATGGACCCCACACCTCAAAGTCTTCTCCTCTTTTTCAGGGCCTTACTCTCTGAGCTTCTTCTACACTGGGCTGTCCAAGCCCAGGGACGGCTTCCTCAGCTTCCAGGCCACGGCCTACCTCAATGACCAGGATTTCTTTCACTATGACAGTGAAGATAGGAAGGCCATACCCTCGTACCCCTGGAGCCAGATGGAAGGAATAGAGGACTGGGAGAACGAGAGTGAACTTCAGAAGGCCAGGGAGGACATCTTCATGGTGACCCTGAAGGACATCATGGACTATTACAAGGATACAGAAGGTCAGTGGACCGTGGACTGCTGGGGTGGAGGGTCTTAGCTCAAGAGGCAGCCCTGCAGGGGTGAGTGGAAAGGGGTCAGCAGGATGGAAGTAATCCCCGTCCCGAAGGAGGAACGGAGAGCAGGGTAGAAATACGCAGACACTCTGCATCCCCCCAACCCCACAGCGCATCCGCTTTCCTCCTGCCCCATCCCATCCCATCCCATCCTCACTCCCAGGCCTCAGCTCTGACAGGAAGTGATGTCAGAGTCAGCTCTCATCCCGGCATGCGTCACCTCTCAGCTGCACAGCCCAACCTGTCTGAGGCTGATCCTACTTTAGAAGGCATCAGGCTCCCTTGCCCAGGGATGTTGGGAAGAGTGAGCTAACCCTGGGGTCCGTCAGACCTGGGTTCACATGGTGGCCCGGCCAGTCACTAGCTGTTTGACAATGAACATGTTCTTAATTATCTGGTCTGAATCTGTGAAATTGGAACCTTCAAAAGATTCCACAAAACTTACCTATGCAAATTCCATGAAAGCTAGAACATCGTCGGTCTTGATCTCCCCAATCGTCCCATCACCTGGGACAGCCACTAATAACCTGCTCAAATGAAATATGTTGAATGATTGAGAGAAACTGCCTCACACAAACCGTGGCCCATACTGGGAGCTTAGTAGGGACTGAATTCAAAGCCACACACTGTTAGAGTTACATGGAATCCTGAAGACCCTCCTGTCCATAAGGAGCGGACTCGGGAGGGCTCATCTGGAATTGTGTTAGGAGGAGGAGGAGGAGCCGGGACCCCCCCAACCCCCCAACCCCCCATCCCCAACCCTGTGTCCCAAGTCAGCCAGTCACAGGCTGGTGAACTGTTGATGCTAAATCATCATAGGGTGAGTGTCGAAAGATGGGTTTCTGAGCACAAAAATGCCTAAGAAGCTACGTAGAATCTGAAAGTTTCCTACAGGAGGCCAGAGGTACGCAGACATCTGAAGGATAAGGAATGGGAAGCCCTGGTAAGGAAAAGGGCCCGCACTGTGCATCAGAAGTAGGAGCGGGTGAGGTACCCGGGTGCCTGGGAAGGACACCAGCAGACATCTGATGGGCTGGAATAAAAATGCTGAAGCAAGTAATTATGAGTAAAGAGGGTAAAGAGAGGAATGGAGGGTGTGAGAATAACATTTCCTGAGCACCTACTATGGGCCAGGCACAGGCGTCAACACTGGGAACGCTCACAGCAACGCTCTAAAGCAGCACTGTGGCCGTTGCTGTTTCCAAGCCGAGAAGACCAAAGCACAGGGAGGGTAAACGCTCAAGTTCACGCCAGGTCGGGGCGGAGAGAGATCTGCCGTTTGCACCCAGGGAGCTTGGGATCAGAGCCTGGGCCCACAGCGCTAATCAGTATCGGGTCCACACCAATTGTGTCCCCCTCCCAGAGGAGGCCAGCTTCCAAGACTTGTTGCTCACTGGGCTGAGAGGGGGCTTCAGAGATTCGTCATGAAGATCTTAGGCCCCAGAATAGAGGGGAGCCGTGATCACATCATGTTTACTCAAGCGGTAACATGAGCTCCACTTAGAACAGCGAGAAAAAGGAGAGATTTGGTAATCTGTATAAAACTCCGAATAATCTCTATTTAACTTGGAGATGGCACTTCAGTGTGGTTCTGTCAGGTTCCTAAGAACTCCCAGTGTATTCGACGTTCACTAGATGAGATGATGCCGGAGGGTGGGGGGCAGGAAGCTGGGAGCACGGTGCATGGTCTGCAATCCCTGACCCTCCCCAGCTGGGAAGGATGCATTGCAGCTCAGATGGGCCTAAAACACCAAACCAAAGCACCTTTCCCTCTTCTGCTGTATGTGTGACTCATAACCCATTTGCCAAGATAAAGGGACCACATGCTGAGATTTCCAAAACCTCGCTTCCTGTTGTTTCTGCAAACTGGGTAGGAGTCGAAGTTATTAAAATGGAGTCGATGCCAGGCTGACTGACTTCCCCGGGGGGGCCCGGGGCGGGTGCAGAGGCTCACACCTTTCAGGGAATGTTTGGCTGTGAGCTCCGGAATAACAAAAGCAGTGGAGCATTCTGGAGGTACGCCTACGATGGAAGGAACTTCATCGAGTTCAACAAAGAAATCCCAGCCTGGGTCCCCCAGGACCCAGCAGCTCTGAACACCAAGCAGAAGTGGGAGGCGGAAAAGGTCTACGTGCTGCGGGCCAAGGCCTATCTGGAGGAAGAGTGCCCAGCGATGCTGCGGAGTTACCTGCAATACAGCAAGATCCACCTGGACCGACAAGGTACCCCCCGCTTCCTAGGTCCTGCTCCCCCCGTGCTGAGCTGAGAAAGACCAAGGTGATCTCAGGCTGGGAGCCCGGGGAGCATCTCAGGCCCAGGTGGTGTCTCTCGGATGATGCCTCCCAGCTGGGCAGTGGAAGAAGGCAGGTGTGGGAAATGCCTGCCTGTCAGAGCCTGGTTGTCCCAAGCCGAGACTTCGGTTTGGGAAACAGTGAGAACGAGGGTCCTGTGGGACAGAGCAGGCATGGGTCTGACAGAGAGAGCCACAGGCAGAATTAAGGCACGGAGCTGAGAATGGGAGAGGAGGGAGCCCCAAAGCTCACTCAGAAGTTTGGGAAAAAGGGGCGCCTGGGTGGCTCAGTCATTAAGCGTCTGCCTTCGGCTCAGGTCATGATCCCGGCGTCCTGGGATCGAGCCCCACATCGGGCTCCCTGCTCAGCGGGGAGTCTACTTCTCCCTCTCCCACTCCCCCTGCTTGTATTCCCTCTCTCGCTGTGTCTCTCTCTGTCAAATAAATAAATAAATCCTTAAAAAAAAAAAAAAAAGAAGTTTGGGAAAAAATAGAAAATGTATGGGGGGGTAGTCACAATTTCTTGCCATCAGATGTCAATACACGGTGGAGGGACAGGGGAGCCCGAGGGCTGTTGTGGTCATTCCACGATCCAACAGGGAGGCTCCTGGGAACCCTCGGCCTTGCCTGATCTTTGCAAAGGTTCCCTGGGGAGGCAGACACAGAGCTTGGAGTTCTGCTCATCACTGACGCCCAGAGAGCGGGAGGGAAGGGACGTGAGCGGGAGCCATCGAGGGCAGACCCTCAATGTCCATGCTCTGTCCCTTCGCAGATCCCCCCACCGTGTCCATCACCAGCCACTGGACCCCAGCAGAAACTCACTCAAGTGCCGAGCCGATGGCTTCTACCCACGAGAAATTGAGCTGCACTGGATTCAGGGGGACGATACACAGGAGGCTGAGGGGGGAGACGTTGTTCCCAGCGGAAACAGCACTTACCAGTCCTGGGTGGTGATGTCAGTTTCCCCGCAGGACAGAGCCTCCCGCTCCGGCTCCGACTCCTACTCCTGCCGCGTGAAGCACAGCAGCTTGGCCCAGCCCCTCACTGTGCTGTGGGCGGGAGCGAGGGCTGAAGGCTCCGAGGGCACCCGGGGGCAGTAGCCACCCCTCCTGCGGGACAGGAGAGACGAGCTCTAGAGGCCAGGGGTCAGGTGGTGGATTCAGGGACACAGAAGCCTAGAATGCCGGCCACGGAGCTGACTCACGGCTCAGTTGTCTTGCAAAACCCCCTTAATCTAATCTGTGAATCAAATCAACAGTAATCACCTTGCCTAGCACACAATGTAGAAAAGCATTTTTTTAAACAGAGATGATACAAAAATGGGAGTAGATGTTACCCTTCATCCTGTGCTTCTAAGCCTTCGATTCATCTGAAATTCTTGGTATCGACTTAAAGCAACGTTTACAGGGCATCCTGCCCTGGGGGGTCCACTGTAGCATGGCGTGGACCGTCTGGTCCCTTGCGCCTTGTTCAGGAGCCCACTGTGGATGTCCCCTCTGTTGTGAGGTCGTAGAACCTCTTTAATACAACCCACGCCTCTTCTGTGCCTCAGTTGCCCAGACCTGCCTCCTCCCAGTGAGCAGCCACCCTCCATTCCAGGTTCCCACACCTTCTGGTCTTGGAGCCGCCACAGACCCTAGCTCATCTGAGAGGCTTCCTCCCTCCAGGACGCACTCCCAGGAAAACAGGAATCAGATGTTCTTGGACTCCCTCCAAATTCACTTGAGTTTGTTTTTTTTTTTTTAACCCAGTTACCCACCACCGTCCACAGGTTTAAAAACCCCAAAAGACAGAACAGACCTCTCACCCCTGACCTTTCTATGAAGCTCATCTGCGTGACGCACACTTCCTTCCCTTCCCAGCCCTGGGCCTCCGAGTTGGGCTCCTTAAGGAAATCATCCCCCGCATTCAGTATGCTGAGTTGACCCTTAGTCTTTCTTGAAAGCCTAAATTTGAAGGTTCTACTTGTCATTTTTGATACTTTGACCCAGTTTGGAAATCAAAGCTGAGAAATAGCTTCCTCAGTCTATGTGAAATCCACATTCCTCTCCTCTAGAACCAAAAAAAAAAAAAAAGTCCTGTTTGAACGGTACAGGCCGCAGAGGAAAACAATCCAAATAGTCACGATGGAAAAATATGGCCATGAACAAATAAAGAAAACCACGTGACAGGAGAAGGATTTCAGATCAATAAGGAAACCCAAAGTCCACAGGAACAGGCAAGCTAAGGCAGACTGGAATGTGAGACCCCGCCCCACGACGACAGGAGAGATGGGTTGGGGGTGGGCAGGGGGAGGGAACCTCAGGAGACCCCAGGACTGGCCAGCTGTGGGGGAAGGGGAGAGGGACACAGAGCCACTCAGACATCCAGAGAAACTTCCCGGAGAGATTGAGATTTCAGAGGAGGAAGTGAAGGCCAAGACAGCTGGCCAAGAAGAGATGAAAGATTGTTCCTGACCAGGTGGGCGTGAGATGGCTGAGGGGAGGGCCACAGGGGCCTGACAAGGGACATGACTGAGGGTGAGGCTGGGCTGTGGGCATCACCGGGCACACCAGGGACCCACACCGTGGGTCCTTCCACGAGTACCTCCTGCCCACCCAACAGAGAACCAGGAGGTTCTCCTTCAGGCAGGACCAAGTTCAAGTGCACTCTGAGAATACCCCACCCCAGGAGGACCTCATTGCCACAAACTGTCTCCTTGGCAATTCCTCAGTCACTTAGTACTATTTTGTCTCTCTCGAAAATTCCTCTGGGGATAGTTCACCAGCTAGACTGCAGGGATGGAGGGCTCGGATTTAGGCAGGAGATGCCAACAGGATATGGGACTTAATGTAGTTGCTGTTAAGGTCCTCTCCAATTTTGGTTGAATGCTGCTTTTCCAATCTGGCTTGTCACTAGAACTTATTCTGCTTATTGAAACAATACCCTCTGTCAAGGTTCAGCCCACATCTTACCTCCTCCCATGACCACTACCACGATCAGTAATTCCAACTTATACTCGTCCATGCTGAGATGTCTCTCAGAAATATCAGGGAAGATTTCCAGAAAGACATTGAGTGAAGCCAATGTCCACTCTATCTCAGCATCATCCCAGACCATTCTCCTTTTTGTTCCTTTCCAAGTGAAAGGAAAGGAATCAACGATGGGAATATCTGGGGGAAGAAGAGCATTTGGGGCAGAGGGGAAAGCGAATGCCAAGTCCCCAGGGCAGGAACAATCGTGGTATTTGAAAGGCAGAATAATGACCAGTGGGCTGGAGTGTCATAAGAGAGGATGTTGAAAAGGCAGGTAGCAGTCAGATTGTGCAGGGCATCGTTTGCCTTGGGAAGGAGTTTCTACTGCAAACGGCAACACCTGGTAGGTTCTAACCAAGATGGCAGTAGGATTTGCTTTAGGTTTTTTGTTTTTTTTAAGATCTTATCTATTTATTTGAGAGAGTGAGAGCAGGGGCAGAGGGAGGGGGAGAAGCAGGCTCCCCTCTGAGCAGGGAGCCCAGTGGTGTGGGGCTTAATCCCAGGACCCCAAGATCATGTCCTGAGCTGAGGTCAGAGACTTAACCGACTGAGCCACCCAGGCGCCCCTGCTTTAGGTTTCTAAAACATCACTTTGGCTGCTGTGTGAGGAAGGGACAATGGTGACAAAAGGGTGGAAACAAGGAGACCAGAAACAAGTCCCCGGAAGGACTCTGGACTGGAATCCTAGCAGCTGTGAAGGGAGCAAGCAGCCAGAGTTTAGGATATATTCTGGACATCAAGCCTACAGGACTTGCAGATGGACCGATGAGCCTTGAGTTTGCTGATGGGTTAGATAGGAGCTGTGGGGGAGAGTGGTGACTCAAATTCGGATCCCAAGCCTTGGACCTGAGTCACTTCTGGCAGCACCCTCCCCCACAGGCTATGTCACACACAGCCTCCAGCCTCAGCCCCTTTGATGGCTCTCACCCACCTGATCCCTACTGCTGGAGCACTTGCAAGCTTCCTGCTTCTCATTGGAGGAAACATTTTCAAGATGACCCACCTGGAATAGTAGAATAGTATTTCCAGTACTCCCAGTCCCTGCTCTGGTTCCCAGTGTAGCTCCCCACCAACCCCCAGAACCAGCCTCCAAAGCAATCCGTGCTATTCCTTTCTGCGTCCTTCCTCGCTCTTACCGCTCAGACCTCTGTCTTCTCCCCCACTAGCCGGAGCTGCAAGCTAAGGTCCCAATTACGCCCCACGCTCGCATCCTCCCCTTACCTGGCCTGCCTGCACACCCTCGGATGAGCTTGTCCCTCCAGAAACCCCTCCCTAGCCCTCCAGACGCAGCTTCAGCGTGTCCTACGCGCCCCCTCGTGGTCGAAAGGCAAAGGTGCAGGCTGGTCGTGCTCACGGGGGCGGGGTCTCCTCCCGCCAGAGTGCCAGGAAATGCACACGCACCCCTGGAACCCAGGAAGCCAAGGTGGCTGGATTTATATCCCCAACCACAGCAGAGCTCCGGGAAGCAGAAATGCTTTCTACCTGGGAGGTGAAAAACTGTTATCGATCATTCTAAACTAAGAGCTGGCAGAGAGAGGAAAAGATCCAACTGAAACGCTTCCGTGAAGCCCCCTTGGACCGGCTCCTCCAGCCCGTGGCTGCCCCAGAGTTTATTTGCTCCCTTCTTCAGTCCTGACCCGATACTCCTCGCTCTCACCTGCTCTGGTTCAAGGGCTTGCGTTCGGCTTTGAACTTCAAATCCCAGTGCCTACTTCAGGCAAAACAGTAAACTAGTGACAGAAGGAGACCTCCTTAACCAATGTGGCATTTAGGAATGCCCCTCAGCTGCAAGGAATAGCATACTTGACTGCAGATGGTTCATACAACAAACGAGGGATTTTTCTCAGCTCCGGGATAGCGTCTCTATGGGTTTTTTGTCTCCCCCTACTGGTCACAAAAATAATTGCAGCAGGTGTCAGGAAGGCGTCCTCAACAATTTCAGCTCAAAGCCCGGAAGCATGGCCCTAAGATAATGACCAAAACCTCTCCCCCCCACCCCCCCACCCCCGCTACTCACCCCACCACAGTTCCTGCCTTTGTTCACGGAGGGAAACCTTCCTAGGAAGACACACCCACCCACCCCTTCCGACTTCAATTTACATCTCACTGCCCAAAGCCAGTTTCCGAGTACATGTCACAGGCTGGGTCCCTTTCGTGAGATTAAGAGTTTTCTGTCAATTCTTGTCAAAATCAGAGCGCATTTTTTAGTACACAAGAAGGAGGGAGATTATTTCGGGGTAAGCAGCCAACAGTTTCTGTTACATTTGAAAAAAATATGATATAATGTTAAAAAAAAAACAGTTACCTCACTTAATGAAACATTAGCACATTCCCATTAAGGTCAGGAATAAAACCAGAATCTCTATTTCCACAATTATTCAATATTTTTCTGGCACTTCTAAGTTAATTCCTTAAGACAAGAGGAAATGAGAAGTTCAAATACTAACAATCATGAAATGAATTGACACTTATTAGCAGATGCTCTGCCTTCCTACCTAGAAAACTCAAAATCAATGGCCAATTCCCTGAAATAAGTCAAAGAGTTCAGAAATGTGGGTGACAAGCAAATATACAAGATCAATAGATTGCCTATATACCAACAACAAATAGTTGGGAAATATTAAAGAAAAAAGGAAACCCAATCACAATTGCTTTAAAAGGAATAAAAATAGAATACCCAGGAATGACTGGATGTTTTCCTCGGGATTGATCAGGGCGCCCTGATTTATACAGGTTATTGTTTGCAATGGAGTTCCGCACCTTTGGCCTTGAATCTGGTATTTGCCCCTTCTCTTTAGGAACCCAATGAAGGGCTCTCCCAGGCCTCCTGGCTCAAGCCTTCAGGCATATCCTGTCTCCTACTCAGACTTCCTCTCTACCCAAGCTATGTAAGGGGTCTGGAGAACCAAACACAGGCCAGGTTGCAGTGGCCTGAGAACAATGTGTCTTCGATATGGGAATAAATTCTTAATATAATACTAAACCCCCTCCAAAAAATATATATATATACAAAATAGTGCACATGGGAGTTAGTATGGGTTACTGGCTAAGTAAGCAGTCTCTGGAATAAGATTGAATGGTTTTGACTGGAAGCTCTGCGGTTTATAACTGTGTGATCTCTCTACCTCAGTTTTCTTGTCTGTAAAATAATAGTAGTGTATACCCCAGAATGGGATGAGGGTTAAGTGAGCCAACACAGGGAACACTCTTTAGTGGCAGGTACGTAATAAACATTCAAAAATTATTAGCTACAGGGGTGTCTGGGTGGCTCAGTCGGTTAAGCATCCAACTCTTTTTTTTTTTTTTAAGATTTATTTATTTATTTGACAGAGAGAGACACAGCGAGAGAGGGAACACAAGTAGGGGGAGTGGGAGAGGGAGAAGCAGGCTCCCCGCCGAGCAGGGAGCCCAACACGGGGCTCGATCCCAGGACCCTGGGATCACGACCTGAGCCGAAGGCAGACCCCCAACGACTGAGCCACCCAGGCGCCCCAAGCATCCAGCTCTTGATTTCAGCTCAGGTCATGATCTCAGGGTCATGAGATCAAGCCCTACATTGGGCTCCAGGTGGAGCCTGCTTGGGATTCTTTCTCTCCCTCTCCTTCTGCCCACCCCCCACTCACTTGCACGCTCTCTCTCAAATAAATAAATTTTTAAAAAAATAATTAGCTATATTAAGTATTCTATCATGGTTATTGTTACTGAGAGAAAGGCCTTCTTAAGCCAGGTACTGTTCAAAACTCATTAATTCATTTATTCTTCAAGACAACAGAAATGTTTTCCATGCAACTCCCAGGTGAGGCCCTTACAGGGAAGGGGTGAGCCCTCCTTCCCCCTTGGTCTTCCTCATCCTGTTCCTTGGGATTGGGTGTGGTGCCTGGAGCTCCATCTTCAACTGTAACATTGAGAACCACACCCTGGGGACAGTGGAGCAGAAAGCTGGAAACAACCAGAGTGCCAGGTGCCTGCCGGTGGAGCCCCCAGCCCAGCCCTAAACCGCCTAAATCCAGACTTTACAAATGTGAGAAAAACAATCCTCTGTCTTGTTTCAGCCGCTCACATTTGGAGTCTCATTCACAACCATCAAACCTGTATCCTAACTGATAACAGCCTGCCACCAGGCAGTTTCTGCCATTTGAGACATTCCTGGGTGTAGTATTGAAATAAGAGCTCGGCCTTCTGAAATGCCCTTTCCTTAAACTGAGACAGGGCCAATTAGAAGGAGATAAGAAGCCCAAAGCAAGGGGCACCTAGCTGGCTCGGTCGGTGGAGCATGCGGCTCTTGATCTCAGGGTTGTGAGTTCGAGCCCCACGTTGGGTGTGGAGCCTACTTTAAACAAATAAATAAGCTTTTTAAAAAGAAGAAAGAAGCTCAAAGCAAAATGTTTCCCAGGTAGTAATGTTGCTTAGGGACCACCTAGGCAGACAATTTTCGTTAAACTAAAGCTGCCTGGCTGAGAGTGCCAAATCCTAACCACTAAACCACCAGGGAGCTAAAGCTGCCTGGCTGGAAAATTAAATATTAATAGCTGTACATTAATAGTTAAAAGGAAATTTGGGAGCATGAGGGTGACCCCAAAATAATTTCAATATACACACTGTTCTCTTTTCACTATGCCCCATTAACTTTGCCTTGCCTTCTCTCAGCCATCCGGTCCCACAGGTGCCTCCTAGGCTCACAACACCTGCTGAGGGAGCAGTCGGCTTCCCTGGACCCTTGAGCACCCAATCCTTACATGAGGATCTTAAAACACATTGGGCGTGTCAGCGTCAGATTTCCTTCTCAGGCTAAAGGGGCCCCTTTCAGAATTCCGAAAGACATTTCCTCGCTAGGTGGTAGGCTCAACTGCAGTTGCACCATACTGCCACGAGAGGGCACTATGTACCCATGCTAACGGATTGGGAGAGGCTCAGCCGCTTTAAGAACGTGTAGGGCTGGCGGGAACCCTGGTTTGCTGATCCCTTTCATGAGGTCATCTCACTTCGTTTTCACACCTGTCCCCCAGCATTTCCACCTGAATGTCCTGAAGACCCCTCAGAATCCCAAGTTCAAATACCAGCACGATCTTCCCCCTCCACCCCATCCCCAGAGGAAACCAGAACAATTTCTCTCCTCCCCCTCCTCTCTCCCCCTCCTCCCCCTTTACCTTCTCCCCCTCCTCTCTCCCCCTCCCTCCTCCTCCCTCTCCCTCCTCCTGATTCCTCCATCTCAGTTAAGGGCATCTTTACCCTCCTAACCACCCAAACTAAGACCTTTGGTTCCTATCCCCTCCCTTTCACCCCAGACAGCCTAGATGTCACCAAAACCAAAACAGGCTCTCACTCAGGTCCTTTTGTCCACCCAGATTGCTCCTGTCTGACTGTGCCTCCCTCGGGCAGTGCACAGTCCTCCCCAGTCGCCGGCCTTTCCCATCATCCTTGACGCTCTGACAACACAGGTGAGATCATGTCATTTCCTTTTTTAAAGGCCAAGAAAGGTGGAAACGACCGGAGTGTCCATCGAAGAGTGAATGTGGTCTAGCCATTCAATGGAATATTATTCAACCTTAAAAAGTAGGAAATTTCAGGGGCGCCTGGGTGGCTCAGTCAGTTAAGCGTCTGCCTTCAGCTGAAGTCATGATCTCGGTCCTGGGATCGAGCCCCACGACAGACTCCCTGCTCAGTGGGGAGCCTGCTTCTCCCTCTCCGTCTGCTGCTCCCACTGCTTGTGTTCTCTCGCACTCTCTCTCTCTCAAATAAATAAATAAAATCTTTAAAAAAAAAAAAAGGAAATTCTGACACATGCTCCAACAGGGATGAACCTTGAGGACATCATGCTAAGGGACAGCAGGGCTTGGATTCATCCAGAACTGACTGTTGGACCCAGATAGTTTTATCAATAGGCCAGACTTTTGAGACAACAGTCCCAACACATGGCAAAGGATGTGACAGAGGGATCTACTTCAAACATACGCCGATTTGAAGAAAACCTTTAAATCAGTTACTTCCTTGGTCTCTAATGTCCATTTTTAAATAAGGGAAATTTCTGGGTTGAATTTACTTTTCTGAGTAGCTCTTCCTACTGAAAGAAAGGGAAGTTCTCAATCTTCATTCTCTACCTGGGAGTAGCTTTGCCTAAAAAGTAATAAAGCTGGCATTCAGCTTTCCAAACAAGGCTTTTTGGCTTTGGTTACTGCAAATCTGTCTGAAGTCACCTCGTGCAGCTAAGAGGACACACCAGCCGAGAGTTAGTCGGCTCCAGAGCCACTCCTGGATCTTCCAGTTCCTATGTGAGCACTCTAGGCAACTTATTTATGCTCTTGGGTTTTGTTGTTGTTTAAAGATTTTATTTATTTATTTGAGAGAGAGCACGAGCAGGGTCATGATCGGCTCAAGTCATGATCTCAGGGTCCTGGAATCAAGCCCAGCATCAGGCTCCGCACTCAGCAGGGAGTTTGCTTGAGATTCTCTCCCCTTTTCTCTCTCTGCGCCCCCCCCACTTGTGTGTGCTTGAGCGTGCTCTCTCTCTCAAATAAATATATAAATCTTTAAAATAAAATAAACGTCGGCCATCAACAAGCTTGCAGTTTTGCTGTTGTTGTTGTCATCAATGTGATTAGCCCATCAGGACCAAAAGAATTAAAATAGTGCTTTCTGATGTAAATATAATGCAAGCACATACAAAATGTTAAATTTTCTAGTAGCCACATTTTGACAAGCAGAAAGAAGCAGGTGGAATTAACTTTAACGCTATTTTTTTTTTTAAAGATTTTATTTATTTATTTGAGAGAGAGAATGAGAGACAGAGAGCACGAGAGGGAGGAGGGTCAGAGGGAGAAGCAGACTCCCTGCCGAGCAGGGAGCCCGA